GAAAGGTTGGTGGTTCAAACCCACCAGTGGCTCCGTGGGAGAAAGACCTGGCCATCTGCTTCCATAAAGATGACAGCCTAGAAAACCCTATGGCTGATTTTACAGTGCCACACGGGGTCACTGAGAGTCAGAATCGACGCGATGACACAACAGAATACGTATGGGGCAGGCCGGGGCATTTGAAATAGGGTCGTATGCAGAAAGCTGGGAGCCCTGTAAAACGTGCAGTGATGCTGAAACTGGACAACTGGTAAGTTGCAGAGGAAGTGCTGCGTGGCTTTGCAGTGAACGGTATTAATGCAAGAACAGCCTTGCAGATGTACTGTTTAGAAATGTGGAGATAACAACTAAATGAAGAAACAGCTAGGAGTTCAACATCTCTGGAAAAGGGGTGGGGTGGGGAGTACGAGTGACTAACTAGCCCATCGACGGGGTGCCAGTGACCCAACCCTGATTTGGGGCACCCCCACGCATGGCAGAGAACTGTGCTGCACCAGGCTCTCAGCAGTGGCAGCGTGTCTTCAGGTCTTACTTCTGAGGCACCCATGTGGCTTGAACCTGCAACCTTTCGGTCAGCAGCTGAGTGCGTGAACTGTTTGCACCACCAGAGACTCCAGATAAGACGATGTATGGCCATGTTTCGTAATATGTCTTTCTCTACTATCTGGTTTCTCTTAAAGGATGATGTGTATTGTATTTTTATTTTAAAAGCTAGATTGTAACCATTCTTCTGTCATTAACTATTACTTGAAAATCAGTACAGATAACAGACCCAGTAAGACAAGCCAGAGAGGTGAGCTAAACTGTCAGAAGGCTGCAACACTTGATGGCTGAGCAGCCAGACAACCGGACAGCCAAAGAGCTGACCGCCAGATGGACAGAGTCAGCAGCCAGCGAGAGCCCATGGCACCAACTCGGCACAGACCTTCTGAATCCTGGTTCTTGCGGCTGTAGTTCATCCGGAAGACGAAGGCCTCCAGGATGAAGGCGACAATGATTGTCATCACCACCTGGCCAAGGACGGGGCGAGAGAGGTGTGTGCGGTGCTGCCGCGGGGCCCTGTGCCCAGGGACGGGGCGAGAGACGCGAGTGCGATGCTGCCGCGGGGCCCTATGTCCAGGGACGGGGCGAGAGAGGTGTGTGCGATGCTGCCACTGGGCCCTGCGTCCAGGGACGGGGCGAGAGAGGTGTGTGCGGTGCTACCGCGGGGCCCTGCGTCCAGGGAGGGGCAAGAGACGTGTGTAGTCCCACGCCCAGCACTGCCATCGGATGTGGCCGCCCCTCTCAGTGCTGCAGAAGGTGAAGGAGGAAGAGCGCCCTGGGGCCCTGAACCTACCATGGTCACGATGTAAAAGGTCATGAAATAGAGGCGGCTCCAGTGGGAGGTCTGAGAGGTGACACCTTCCTGGGGATAGAGGGACGCGGCCGCACAGTGAGCCCGGGCAAGGCCTCGTGGCTGCCCACTCAGGCCCAGAGCAGGCCTCACCCAGCTTTTTACAGACCCCTGTGATCTGCCTTTGGTTGTGGGGAACAGGAGAGGGAGCCTGGTCTCCTGGTTCTCATGTGTCCTCTCTGCTACCTACACTCTGGAAGCATCCCAGGACACTGGATTTGGGGCGTTCAATGGGGATGGGACACAGGAGAGTTTAAGAATCCTAGCTGTACTTTTTTAGTGGAGAAGTCACTTCTAGTGGCCAAGGACAGAACAGAACCTCAGAAACTAATAGACCCTGGCTGCTGGGGAGTGCCTGGGTGAAAGCCAGTCCAGTGAATGTGAGGGGGTGGCTCCTGGCAGGCACAGCCCAGGCCCAAGGCTCCCAGGGTTCTACCCACACTGGCCTCCCTGCAGAACACAGCCCAGTGGACTTAGGATCCCAAATTTACAGGGCCCACGGACAGTGCACCCCACATGCAGTGAGGGAGACACAGAGCTGGCTTCAGAGGATGGTGGGAACCGCCCAGGAGTTGACCATGATCCTCACCATGATGATGTACCAGTTGTTGACAACTGTGAGCTCAAACAGGGTCACTGCCAAAGAGAAGGGACAGAGGAGTGTCTGGATCAGACCCACTTTCTCAAAGTCAATTTCTGGTGGCTTCTGTCCCTGTCATCTGTTCCCCCGTCATCTGTGCGATGCACCAAAAGAATGATGTCCTCATGGGCCAGCTCAGCTGCGAGCTCTAGGAGAGCTGCTGGGCCAGGGACTCCTGCCACTGTGGCCTGTCCCCAGAAGGGTTTGTCCTTTGTCTCAGAAGCCCATGATGGACCAGGCCTCTGACTCAGGGGTACAAAAGCCTTCATACAAACTGTACTGGTGCAGGTCTGGGGATGCACTGAGGGCTCCCCCTGCCTCTCGAGAAGCTGTGTCTGTCTCGAGAAGCAGGGCCACTTCTCCCCTCTACCCACAAAGGGCTCTTCCTGGAACCCCGAGCAGGGCTGAGCGGACTGGGCTGGGGTAGCATAGCACTGTGGCGCCACTGGTGTAGCTGGTTCCCACCCTGAGAGAGAGGGTCAGCACCCTACCACTGGGCCACACCCCTCCCAGCTAATGCATGATGCTATGAAGCTCTTCCCCTCCCACCCAGGAAAGGGCAGGGAAAAGGAGTAAGATCTGGGGGCTGAAGGAGCCCTGGAAGCGAGGCTGGACTCCACCCCTACAGCTGGGCAGCCCCCACCCTCCATCTGGGCCACAGAGAGAGCAGGCGAACAGCTCCGTGCTGTTCACAAGGAATGTCCTATGTGATACGGGGTGTGGTCTCAACTCACCAAAGCTGTTGAGGATGTTGTCGAAATTGTTGAGATAGTAGTAGCCCTCCTCCAGCACGGTCTTGTTGCCCACAGTGTGGCTGACCCAGCGGTAGGCATCCGCAACTGTGCTCACGCTAACCGTGGAGACAGGAAGTGGGAGGAAAGGTCACAAGGCAACCGTCACTCCGCAGAGGACAAGAAGTCTAGGCAGACCAAGCTGGGGCCGAGGAACTTGCTGGCTGCCTCTCCCCCGGCTCCCTGTCTAGCCCTCCCTCGCTCTTCCAACGGTCCTGGCCGGAAGGGAACCCTTGGTTCCTCTCACCCGCTGGGCTCTGTGTGGTGCCCTCAGGCTGGCCTCCTACCTGCCTTCACTTGGTGTTTCTCTGCTGTCGGCTAGGCCTCTGCTCTATGCTGAGGGGACGCTGCTGGGGAGGGATGTGGAAGGCAAGGGCCCTCTACGTCTCCCCCAGCTAGCCTTTGCCCTGGAGGCTGGGCACTCGGCAGCAGGCCTCGGGAAGGGAAAGCCCCCATGGCTGTCTCTCGCCCGAGTACACTACATGCTTTAAGAGGCTGCCACTCTCCCGCTAACCCTTCACGGCTGTTCTGTTCACACGCAGTATTTCTACAAGTCTAGTCCTTGGACTTCACGGCTGTTCCATTAACACGCAGTATTTCTACAAGTCTAGTCCTTGGACCACAGGGGGCTGGCTCCGATGGTGGAGTCCCCATCCCGTGCCAGACCCTGCACTGAGGCTCATATAGGGCCTGAGACTGGCGTTTAAGAAGCATCCCTGGTGATTCTGACGTCTTGAATGCAGGCTTCCGGCTCCTACCTCAGTTTGATGCACAGAATGGCTACCTGTGTCTTTGGAAACTTGCGTTATCAGTGTGTGGGCCATGGGACCACGTTTGAGAGAGAAGCCAGTGGGTGAGGGTGAGAGGTGGAGTGTGCTGATCTCCCTGGCGGCTGAGGGGCACAGAGGAAGGGCAAGGTCCTGGGAGGGTTGCTCCTTGCTCTCTCTCCCTGCGCCCAAAGACCTACATGCTGTGTATCCATCTGTCTCACCCTAACAGACAGCCCCTGGGAGATGTGTCTGTGCCCAGGTCCCCCAGGTCCCCAGCCACCCCCAGAGAGGGGTGGGAAGACGCTGTGGCCTTCGGGCCTCAAGATGCTCCTGCCTCTAGGGCAGCCTGCACCCTCCGCCCAAAGGGTGAGCCAATCCTGGCTGGCCTGCTCGGACAGGACACACTGCCATGTGCCTGCTTCTGAGAGACCCGCCTGACGCAGGGCCCGTGCCGAGTGACCTGCACTGAGCTAACCCCTGAAAGCTAAGCGGAGTGATTCCCAGGGCCGTGTCCTTGAGGACGCGGGGGCCCAGGAGGATGGCTGGCGCTCCTCCGGGAAGCAGGCTGCCAGGCTGGGCAGGGCGGGCCGTCCGTGCTCACTTGCAACAGTTGGGGTAGAGGATCCCACAGAAGAATTCCATACCCACGATGGCGAATGAGTAATAGAAGATGAGCAGCGTGAGGCCCAGGCTGTGGAGAAGTCAACGGGGACGGGCTGAGTGGGGCCGGCAGCCCTGCGACCTCAATCCCACACTGCCTGTGCCCTCGCGGCCTCAGTCCCACACTGCCTGTGCAGATGGGGCCCTCTCAGGGGCGCCGACTGCAAAGGGCTGCAGGGGAGGGGCCTCATGATGCAGGGCTCTGTGAAGATGCCCCGATGCGCCCCTTACCTGTGAAGACAGACTCACAGGTGAGTGAGGTGGCAGCTCCCTGCCCTCCCTACTACAGATTCCAGACAGGTCTGTGGTGGGCGGGATCTCATCCTCCTTAAAGACCCACCAGGTCCTTGGCTCTGGTCCTTCTTGGGACTCCCTTCTCCTCTGGTGCCCCCAACCCCTCGACCCTAGCCTCCTGAAGCCTAGATAGAGCCTGGAGGTGGCAGTACCTGGCCATCCGTGGCAGGAGCTCGAACATGGTGTCCAGCACATTGCGGTAACGTTTCTTCAGTTTAAACAACCTGAGTGAGTGATGAACACAAGGCACTTAGAGGAACAGTGGCATGGTCTTGGCCTATTCCCAGCAAAAGACACCGGACCCCACTTTGCTCGCTGATGGGCTCCTCATCGACTGGGGAGTCCACTGCCCTTGGGGGTCTCAGGACCCACCAGCCCAGCACCTCAGCCCAGGTAGCTTGTGTACATGGTGGCCCTGGGACACAGTCTGGAGGGGACCTTTCCCTAAGGAGAGGCCAAGCCACCTCGTCTTCTTATTCATCCTAATTTTTCCTCCTCGTAGTGTTTAACTCAGGTGAGGAGGTGGCCACACCAACTTGCCACTTTATATACAAAGCCAAGAGGTTCTGTGTGGGGCAGGGCCTTGTTCATGGTGGAGTTCAAGGCAGAGGGAGAAGGTACTGGCGTCCACAGAGGGGAGTGTGGACTCGTGAGTTAGGAAGGGGTGTGCAATATAGACCGGAACAGGCACTGCGGCCCAGCCTCTCTCTCCAGAAGCGTGTCCCCAGGCCCCCACCCACACCTGCACCTTTCCTCCAGTGAGGACAGGCAAAGGACTGGAAAGAGGAAAACCCATGCCTCTTAAGAACGAGGGATCCCCAGTTAGGAAGACACCCTAAGCCAAATTCTCAGAATAGCCATGCGTTTGTGGATGGAACAAGGCTCTCCTGGGAAACAGTGGGACGTGCCTGAGGGCTTTTCCTGACAAGAGGCTGTGCCAGCATAGCGTCAGAGACCGGCCAGCGGAAGGGCCTTGAGAATCTCAGGCCTTCAGAGCCTGTGGCCCTCTGGTCCATGACCTGGGCGTGTTTCTGCAGCTGCAGGTGAGGCCCCCTCGGGCAGCTTACCCTGCAGGGCGGCGTTCCCTTCCTAGAGGTACCTGGGCAGAGTGCTCCCTCTGGTGAGATGCTGACCCCGTGGGGCAGGGGGCATTCTATCTGCCACACCACACTGTGGTTCTCACGCCAGCTCCAGGGCTTTCCCTCCCTCCCTCGGCCCGCCTCTTCCCACCCAGGCCCTGCCTTGTCACCTTAGCAGCTGGAGGGGTCGCAGGACTACTATGAAATAGAACGGCTCCATGTTGAAGGCCAGAGCCAGCAGCCCCAGGAAGGCAAACACCGTGACCGAGAAGTCAAACCTGGGAGAGGGGAGAAGCATCAGTCCACCTGTCCCACCTTGAGCTTCCCACATGACCGAGCCGCATCCCCCAGCCTTGTTCTCAGTAGACACCCTTCCAAGGGGCTCAGACACAACCCAGCAAAATGCACAGTGCACGGTGCAGTGGTCCACAGCCAGGGGCATCAGTGAGCTGATTCCTGCTGCCTCGAGGTTCTGAGGTTAACTCGGGTACACACGTCTTGGAGTTCAGGCCTGACCTCTCTAGCCCTTAGGGAAGAAGTACCAGACCCCTGTCCTGGCTTCTCTGGTCAAGAACAGAGAGGATTGGCCCCAGCCTCCTCAGTGCCCACCATGGGCCTCTTCTTCCCTGCATAACTTGAGACCTGCCTGACCCCAACGAACTCACCAAGGGCCGGGGTGGTGTCTGCAGCCAAGAGGCCCAGCTGAGAACAGTGGGCCCTACCTTAAGACAGGGGGCTTCTGCCCATCCACAGATACACGCTAAAACCGAAAAACCCAACGCACTGCCATCGAGTCAATTCCAACTCACAGCGACCCCCTTTGGGTTTCTGAGGTGGTAAATCTTTAT